ATTCTTGATAGGGGATGCATGCATGCATGCATGCCAAGACTTGTGTTTGTTTGAGTTGGTTGTACCTTACAACCAGCCACCAGTTTTGTTCATTAGATACGGAGTACACATTGGAGGATCCGAGTACAGATGGATCTCTCGTAATTTAGTCGGAAACGGAGATTCATGATTATCTAGGTTAATGAGTCTCTTCATCATCGTGAGTAGATGGGATTGAATGTCTCTCTACCATTCTGATTAGATTTGAGTATTTTGGTTTGCTATCTAGGTGGGCTTTTGATATGCAGCATCTAATGGTGGCTTCATCTAGGCGTTAGCCATCAAATTCTACTACATGGTTAGATTCTACTATATGAAATCTGGTTGGTAATACAAGTGTGAGTGAGTGACTGATTATATTGTTTGACAAGGATTCTCCCGTATGGGCTACTAGGTATGTACATCTTTAATTTCTAGTCGTGGTGGACGGATGATATGATGATGTCGATATTGGGCTCAGGAACAATCAATCAGGTCAGCAAAGGGTCACCACCACAATGGCACGAAATGATTGTGGTTGGCTCTCATAGTATGTGCCTGATGCTTTTTTGTTGGTACCTGCTTGCTTGCTTAAACTTTTCTTCATACACACTTTTTACTTTCTTCATTCAAAAGCTTGACCTTATGAACCTATCACCCTATCAATCACCCCATAACCCTTGAACTACTATCTAGCCCTATTGCTTGCTTCCGTCATCTACCTAGAGAACCTAGACACGCGAATAAATGAATGAATTGAATAATGACGTCTTTTCGATAGGATGAGATATCTTTAAATTCACTTTTTTGGCCCTCTTTGGTCTGATGTGTATAGAAGATTGCCGAGTACCGGTACAAAAACGAAGTGAATGTGTAACTACCTAGATACCGGTACAACACGCGCATTCGCTACACCCCTCCTCCTTTTCGAGTAGATTCTCATTGTCTTCTACTGACAACTGTACTTCGGACAACTGTACTTCCGCATACCGTGTACAGTACGGGACGGCTTTCAGATGAATATCTCATTTCTCACGTATTCTGCATTCACTCAATCCCTAGCTATTTTCCCCTGATAATAATACCTAATGGTCCGGAATAATCCACCACATATCGCGCCACTAGTCAATAGATCATAGATGACCTTTTTTTACTTCTAGTTCCTCCCTAGTATGATTAGCTCTTCGAATTCTACTCCACTGATGTTCATGTTCGAGTTTTCTTTCCTTCCTATCCTTTCTTGCCGAGCGGATTAACCCTTGTTGCAAAGGTCTCTCGAGGGCCTGTAATGAAATCTAATCCTAGTCCAATCCAATAGCAAATAAGCTGCTCAGTACCTCCCCGTTAGATGAATTTTTCAGATCGGTCTATTCACCCGATTGTGTCCCAATCTAACTAAACTTGTGAAATTTGATCAAAGATGATTGGGTACGGTCGTCATTCAGGTAGCTGGAGTGGATTACTTAATCAAATTCCGTAAATTCCCAATTGTTCCCTTCAGGTAAGGTTCTGGTGCTTCATAATTCAATAATAATCCCGACTTTCCCATCCTCCCACCAAAAACTTTCTTCCTTCCCGTACATTCAATTCTTCTTAATACTTTTTATTCAACAACTTGTCGCATCGTACAAGTAGTAGATATCTTCTGACACAAGACTTTATAGTCAACAGTCAGAGTGATATTCTTATAAGATTGTTCTTCACATCAATCTTCTTTTATTGTGATTGTTACTTGCGGCCATTGTCATTACCTCGCTTGGTGCATATACCACAACGGACAAATCATGGCGGACGTGGTACAAAATATCACTTATGCCTCACCTGTGGCAGATGCGAAATTTGCTCAGATTATTGGGCATCCTCAACTCAATGGTTATTTAGCCAAGCTGGCAGAAGTCAGCGCATGGCAGATCGTGCTTACAATTCTTTGCCTTATGGTAGCTTATGATCAATGTAAGAAAACTTCTCAACGCGTCAATTTATCAATTACACCACTAACAACTTTAAAGGTAGCTATATCTGGCAAAAAGGTTCAATCATCGGTCCAGCATGGAAAGCTCCCTTCATCGGTCCATTTTTACAATCTGTCAATCCAAAATTTCACGAATATCAAGCAAAATGGGCAAGCGGTGACCTCAGTTGCGTATCTGTTTTCCACAAGTAAGTCAACACGATTATGTGCCACTTCAAAATTAGGCCCTAATAATATTTAGATTCGTTGTTATTGCTTCTACTCGTGATATGGCTAGAAAGGTTTTCAACTCTCCAGCATACGTCAAACCATGTGTAGTCGATTCAGCACATAAATTATTGGGCGAGACCAACTGGGTTTTCCTTGACGGAAAGGCTCATGTTGATTTCCGAAAGGGTCTCAATGGATTGTTCACTCGCAAAGCTCTCGACTGTTATCTCCCAGGACAAGACGACGTTTATAATCAATATAACGAAAGATTCGCTAAGGTTACCGAGGAAGCTGGAGGAAAACCCGTTCCATTCATGTCCGAATTCAGAGAATTGTTGTGCGCTGTTTCCTGTCGTACTTTCGTTGGTTTCTACATCTCAGACGAAGCGATCAAGAAGATTGCCGACGATTACTACAATATTACTGCCGCCTTGGAATTGGTCAACTTCCCAATCATTCTGCCATTCACCAAGTCTTGGTATGGAAAAATTGCTGCTGATATGGTTCTTGAGGAATTCTCCAAATGTGCCGCAAAGAGCAAGGTTCGCATGGCTGCCGGTGGTGAAGTTTCTTGTATTATGGATGGATGGGTCAAGTCTCAACTCGAGTCCGCTGCTTGGCGCGAGGCAGAAGAAAAGGGTCTCTCAACTAAAGGAATGACTAAGCCAGCACCATTACTCCGTGAGTTCACCGACTACGAAATTGCTCAAACCGTCTTTACCTTCTTGTTCGCTTCCCAAGATGCTACTAGCAGTGCCGCCACCTGGTTATTCCAAGTTATGGCTCAACGTCCTGAGGTTTTAGATAAGGTCCGTGAGGAGAACTTACGCGTTCGTGGTGGTGATAAACGAGTTAGACCAAACATGGACATGATGGAAAGCATGAAATATACTCGTGCCGTGGTTAGAGAGTTATTGAGATGGCGCCCTCCTGTTCTCATGGTTCCATATGTTGCCAAGAAAGCATTCCCAATCACTCCAGATTATACTGTTCCCAAAGGTATGTCACACTGATACAAAAACGAAAATCAAATTCTAACCACTGAGATAGGAGCCATGATTGTGCCAACAACATACCCAGCTTTACGCGATCCCGATGTATATGACCGACCTGATGAATTCGACCCTGAACGTTATTTCTCTGGTGACGCAGAAGTAAAGGGTGCTAAGAACTACTTGGTCTTTGGAACTGGTGCTCATTATTGTCTGGGACAAGAATATGCCCAAATGAACCTTGCTCTTATGATTGGAAAGGCATCGATGGAACTTGACTGGGTTCATCATCCAACTCCAAAATCAGAAGAGATTAAGGTCTTTGCTACAATTTTCCCTATGGTTAGTACATATTCACATTGAATGACTCTTGATCACTACTAACCCAAATTACAGGATGATTGTCCATTGACCTTTACAAAGAGACCTTAATCATCTTGATATCCTCTGTTCGACATTTCGAAATTTTTCATCAATCTTCACACTACCTTCTCACCATTTTTTTTATTATCGGAACGCCAATCTCCGCATACTAGGGGCAAAGTTGCGGCAGTAAGGTTATGATCATTTTAATGCATTCGACTGGGCGTTCAAACATTTCTGTCCATTAAATTATAGGGAAAGGATAGGCGTTATTCATGAAAGTAGTAATGAAGATAGGGATGGAAGAGTTGGCTTGTGTAATTTCTTCAATCTTTGACGAAGAAAGCACATGAAACTCACCAAAGGATACTTAATCAATTGTAATTAGTCATCATCTTTTGTTTTTCAAAAGAGGTGAGAAGCGAAGCATGAGAAATGAGAATGAAGATCCATTTGACCTGCAATAAGTGGCTTTATGAACAGTGTGATTTGTGATTTGAGTGATAGAGTAGTTGTATCATATACTCTTGCTGTTTATAAAGAAAATATTGATTAAATTTGATCAATAGTTCGATCGATTCGTCAATATAACTGGTTGATTTCATGATTCGTTTATCTATTCGTGTCTGCTTTTGCTGTGCTCAAGATGTAGGATGGTATTGGAGAAAATGGATGGGATAGCTAAGGGAGACGAAGCGAAACGAGATGAGACGAGGGCAAGAAATGGGATGAAGGGTTGGAGAGATGGCGAAAGAAGGAGGAATGGGGGACGGAGATGGAGATGGAGATCACGATATATGTGTATATTCGTCAATACAGAAATAGATGGATGCAGTTAATAAGTTAGTTAGGTGTTTGAAATTTGGGATTTGGGATTTATTCTTGGAATTGATGTGGGGTACTTTGATTTGGTTTGATGCGAAAATTAAGTATTGGGATGGGATGGGAGGTGATGGTGATGGTGATGGTAGTTACAAAGGAGTGAGAGTGGGAGTGGGAAATTGAGGGATTCTTGCTCTGTGTATATGGATGGAAGGTAGGGAGGATAGATGTATATACATCATTGTGGGAATCATATCATATTGTGGGAGAGAAAGAAGTAGGTGGAAGCTGAATGAGGGCTGGGAATGTGTATTGTGTGCTGTGTGGGTGTAGCTTGTCAAGGTTTGGTTTGTAAATCAAAGCTATTATTCGGAGCTGAAGCAAGGTCAAGGAAACGGCGTTTCTTCATTTGATGTAGATAGATATAAGGATGGGCATTGTCAATTTCGATTCCAGTTCCAATTACATTTCCATTGCTGCTTCTTTCCCTCTCTCATCTCTCGCACGCGTACACAGACGAATCAATAGATGAACACTCGAATATACTCTCCCCTCGTCCGCGTAGAATACTCGGTGTTAAAGAGATCTCTTTGATGGGGAGACGGAGATCTGGGATGGGGATCTTATTCCTTGTGTGTGTGGCGGCTGTTGACGTAGCTGAGTTCGGGCTCGCGTTTGGAGTTCTGGAGATCGGAGGTTAGTGCATATGATGGGGATTAGTGGGGTATAGAGAAGGAGAAGGAGAAGGAGGTGCGGGACATACGACGTAGCTCAATTCAGGCTCGCGTTTGGAATTGACATAGCTCAATTCTGGCTCTCTCTTCGAATTCACATAGCTAAGCTCAGGCTCGCGTTTGGAATTGACATAGCTCAATTCTGGCTCTCTCTTCGAATTCACATAGCTAAGCTCAGGCTCGCGTTTGGAATTGACATAGCTCAATTCTGGCTCTCTCTTCGAATTCACATAGCTAAGCTCAGGCTCGCGTTTGGAATTGACGTAGCTCAGCTCTGGCTCTCGCTTGGAGTTCTGGGGAGAGAATGTTAGTGAATGAGTTGGCGATTGGGATCGATGAGCATACCACGTAGCTTAGTTCCGGGGAACGTTTGGAGTTGACGTAGCTCAACTCAGGCCCTCGCTTGGAGTTCTGAAAAGTTATCAATAAGGTGTACTGAAGAATGAGAAATGCCACACAAACCACATAGCTGAGCTCTGGCTCGCGTTTGGAATTGACGTAGCTCAGCTCTGGCTCACGCTTCGAATTCTATATTTGTGTGAGCTGGATGCTAAAAACATCTCCATAAAACATACCACATAACTCAATTCCGCTGCACGGCTATTCACATAAGATAGCTCTGGATCACGTTTAGCCATAAACCAATCCAGCTGAGCATACGTAGCATCCAACACACCTCGTGCTTTAACTTCTTCTGCTACTAGTCAGTGATGAATTTTTTGAGCTTTTAGGGGATATAGTAGACCTTGAACAGGGCTCAGAGGAGCAGCATATGCGAGACTTAGAATGGCCGTAGCCAGGATTGCGGTCATGCGAACCATTTTGGAGAGGTTTTTTGGGGATGTTGTGGTTTCTGGGATGGGGTTGTAGTTGTTTGGTTTGGAAGGATTTATGTGATTGAACAATGGAGAGAAGTAAAGTTAGATTTCTAGTTAAAGACTGTTTATATAGCAATTTTTTGGCTTTCAAATGAATGAGAATGCGGGAGTCTTTTCGATCTACCTACAAAACTGACGGGGAGATCCGAAAGTGCTGCATGAGACTATCCTATAGAGTTACATGCTGCAAAGTGCTGTAACTTACTGTTATCTAGCTGTCGATCTATCGTTTCATTCATTAATACAAGATAAGATCATTTCCGCAAATGGAAGTGTTGTAATATGTTCTTGAACATACAACTGTGTGCATAACCGACGTAATTTGTACCAACGAGTTGTTGCATTTATCGGATTATGTATTCGACAAGCAGAGTTAACTCAACCCCGATTCGAGGAATCAGAAAGATGTACAAAATCGTGAATTAGATTCCAGTATCGTTTCAAAGTATATCGGCAACTTGAGTTTTGTCGAAAACACTACATAAATGTCAAAACAGGTAATAGCGAGACTATTCAAAAATTTCCGCTGCAACGAAACCCGTGGCGAAGTAAGTGTTGAAGAAATGCCTCAAGTTATCGTTTCTTTATCACCAAGCCGTTATTTGTGTTTGCTGAAGCAATTTGTGTAAACAACGGGTTATAGGTCATTTTTAGACATATATCTGCATGTATGAGTAACTTTACAACCTTACGAGAATGGAGTTGATTTGATTTGGGTTACGTACCGAAAGACAAGAGTGAAATGGGAGGACGACAGGAATTGATGGAGAATGTGTGCTTGTGCAAATGAGGATTACGCGGGGAGTAAGGGAGGTTGGTTGGATTAGGGATAAGAGGATCTCGTTTATCGTCATGAACAGGAGAGATTTACACTGGTCTAACTTGCTTTTTTTTAAGGAGATTTGATCTGGGTAGAATTGATGCTTACTAGATAGCTGTTACAAACTGTAAGTTTTTTGGGCCAGAGACTTCACTACAGACGTTTCGGGTGTGTCTAGGAGGGAAGATAGCTTTTACAAGGTCTACAGAGCATTGACTGAGTAGATCGGATTTGTTATGATGTCAATACTACCACTACTGCCGTGCATCTATAAATGCCTTTGATCTATCACCAACCAGTATATTTACTGTATGAAATATGATCATACAAACAGGGTATCCAACAGTCCGGACTGTAGTCAAACAATACAAGGGTTTGAATATCTAAACGCAGTTAGAAACTTGAAATTAGTTCAATATCCTAATCATACTCAGTATCTGAAATGACTTGAATATTCAAATTGGTTTGGGGATTTGATAATCTTTATTGTTAAACTGCAGTCCGGACTATTGGACACTCTACATACAGATAGCGATGCCTCAGATATCTATCTCTGAGTTACGAATGACGTAGTTTTCACATCTAGCAACTAGGTTATTGGGATCTGGATACAAAGATACCTTGATCTTCGTTCTCTGCTGCTGATCTATCAAGGCTGTTTTCGTATGCGAAGTTCGGGTCGAAAATATTTCAAGTCGTCAAACCCGCGTTAGATGTGTATTCGGAAGCTTTACCCCCACTTTGCAAGATGATCATTAACACAAGGAACAACATTCTAATCTACTGGTAGATACATATCTACAAAATCTCTTCTCATCCAACTAGAGTCCAAATCACATTCTGTACGACCAACCGAGGAACACAAAGTTTGCCACGCGAACGGGAAAAATTAGCCGAAACCTCGATTCCGGGACCAGAGGTGTCGTCTTGCATATTCTTATCTGCATGAGTTGGCTTGCATATTCGTGGATCGTGGATCGTGAATCTAGATAATCGTACAGTATGTGGCTTATCTTTTGCTGGTTGAAAGAGAGGAGGATGTTGTTCTCTTATCCACCAGTAGGTGTATGAACTGACGAATACTACAAAATGGACTTGTGAATATCTCTTGATACATCAAATCGTTCATTTTAGGAATTATTACAATCATTTGTTAGAAATGGAGAAATCAAAATATGAATTCTAATATTAAACAATTGAAGAATGAATCTGTTAAAAGATTCAAAAGTTGAAGTGTCCCGTCAATCCATGCACCCACTGGTGATCTACCGAAATATAAGTCAATGATATTGATTTCGTCCATGAGTTATTTGATGCATTATAGAAAATACCTAGTATGAGTATAGTGTTATCATTTCACTTGAAATGAACTATAATATCTTATTTGCTTTTTACAACATCAGTTCACACGGAGCAGAAATCGTATCAGAGTGAAGAAGATAGAGTTGAGAGAAGAAATTCCGATTTTACAATCTTTATTTGTTGAACACAGTCAGAAGTACAAGCAACCCGAATCCTGATTTATGATGCTATATTATGCTCACTAGCTGTACGACTTACAATATTCAACCTTCTACATTCCCTCAGAAAACAGCTACTCTATCATTCACCTTTCCTATCTGCATTACAGTTCTCCGTTCTTCCATCTTCAACCTCTCCACTCTTCACAATGGGTTTCAATCAACGTATATTACAAATATTCAAGCACAATAAACCTTTCAAATATGCAGAATTGGATCCCTCACATGTAAACTCGGACAACGAATATCAAGATGAAGATCGACTTCTCAGCCGCTTTTCTGTCGGTGATAAATCATTCAAACACACTGAAAAGGGAGAGACTGATACGTGCCATAGGCATCACTCATTTTTAAGGTGCCTAGGTTGGCTCAATGGTCTTTTCTTTTGTCTGTCTTTGTACTTGTTCACAGCGGCTATGCTTAACTGGAAGCAAGTTCCCGGTGGGAAAGAGCGAAATTGGGCGTTGAAGCAAGTCTCCGAAAAATGTAAGTTTAAAAACCCCATGTATTAAGAAAACCATCTCATTAAAAAAATTATAGCTCCAATTCTAGACGCAATCGACATTCCCCTTTCAACCTGGCGACTCAACGGTACCTTCCTAGAACGTGAGAACGAGTCCATCTATCGGCAACCTCCATCCCCAGAAGTCGACGCAGCATGGGCTCGTATCGAGACACAAAATCCCATTCCCCTCTCCAGGCAAGATCTTCTCAACCAAGGCAAAAACCCAGATCTATATGCCAAATTCCCCGAAACCTTCGGATTCGGCCCCGACGCCTTCATCGGCCGCATCGACGTCTTCCATCAAATCCACTGTCTCAACCGGCTACGCATGCATCTCTACTGGAACGTAGCATACTACTACCCGGACGAACAGATGGGGAAATACCACCAACTGCACGCCTCGCATTGTGTGTATGCGCTGCTGCAGAATCTGATGTGTCAGGGAAATGTGGATACGTATGGACATTATTGGGTGGATATGCAGGAAAACGCAGTGCCGGACTTTAATATCAATCATAAGTGTAGGGATTTTGAAGCAATACTAGAGTATCATGATGAGATTGCGGTGCCGTTGGAGAAGTTTGGGGCATTGAGGAGACCGATGGATGAGCCGGTTAGACATATGACGCATGAGGCGAAGGAGATATTTAGGTGGTTTGATAATCATGAGGATGATGGTCAGGATGGGATGGAGATTTTGTGATAGGTTGACTCTGGAGGTGAAGTAAATGTTTTGCGAGAACATAGGGCTCTTGGAGTTGGATAGCTGTTGAGATTTTTTGATAATGTGCATTTTGATAAGGAAAAGTCGTCTCTGTTTTCGAGAAGAGAAACTTACCAATATATAGCCTGTCTGGTACAAACCATATCCCAATCAAAATGAATCCAGTGACGAAGCTAGAGAAAAGAAAACGAGCAAGGCCAGAATAAACGAATAACTGTTGGTGACTACACCATACACGTGCATCTTAATTCACACATTTCCCAAGACATCCGCAACCTGAATAAGAAAAGCTTGGGAATCTCCAATACAATTTGTAATAATCCAAGCTCCTATCATTCTATACAATTCATAAAATTTAGAAACAATATCCACAACCCTTTCTTCAATTCATGATATCATCAAATTTCTTCGAAAAATCATTCATTTCCTTCAGTCCATTACACACTACCCCATCTACCCAATTCAATATCCAAACGCCAAGTTATCAATTTTTCTCTTCCCTATTTCTCTTCTTCCTTTCCTCTCCTCGTTTACGCATTTATGCATTCATTCATTCTACTTCATTACGTTACTCTATTCCCATTTCTTCTCGAAAATATCCACGTGTCACATCCCTATCCCCTAACCGTAACCGTCACACTCACCGTCTCCGTCTCCGTCTCTGTCGCACCACCCACGCAACTACTCATACTAGTAATCTTTCCATCCCCTCCCACCCCCAAACAAACATTCCCTGCTGCGCTCGTACTCGTCGCTACAGGCGCAGTAGTAATCGTAACACTCGTTTCTCTCGGTGGCGAGAAACTCAACGTCGTTGTTTCCAGCCCATCATCTATCGCACTCGAAGATGTGCGTACAGGAGTCGTAGAAACGGGAGAAGGAGAAGGTGTAGTCTGTGCCAAACCATTACCTCCGGCTGTTGTGGTAGCTGTGGGGCTGGCGTTGATGATGGTTATGGATGTGGCTGTCCCTGTATTTCCATCACTAGTTGTGGTTTTAGGAGCGTCATTGCCAGAACCAGAATTAGATTTTGAACCGGATCCAGCAGTAACAGGAATAATAGTCAATGCAGTTACAGCTCCGTTGTTCGAATCTGCGGTGTTTACACTGATGGTTATTGTGCTGGCTATTTCTGTAGTTTTGGGAATATCTGCTGTGGTTTTCTGGGTTGTAGGTGCGAGGACAGATTCTTGAATGGTGGTTTCTTTGATGGTGGATGTAGAGGTGGGTATTATTGTGGTGCTAGAAGATGATTCTCTTGTTTTTGTTGATGGTGTTACGGTTGTTACGAAGATTTCTGCAGTGCTAGCAGGCTGTGTGGTGGGTAGTTCAGGGAAAACTGTAGTTTGTGGCTCTGAAGACGAGGAAAACACAGAGACCTCTGATGTCTTGATAGTTGTTGCCGCTGAAGAGAAAGATGATGCAGAGGAGTCAATCTTTGTGGTTTTTACTTGTATAGATGAAGTTGAGGTTGTGGATGAAGATGAAGAGGTTGGGATAACTCCAAGAGTCGAAGATGGAACAACCGTGGTTACGTATACAACTGTTGTTTGCAGAGAATCGCTTGATGTAGTCTGAGACGAACCTGCCGTTATTGAGGTTTGAGGAATAATGCTCTGCTCAGACTTTTCTGTGGTAGAACCTGGCCCTTGGGTCGACGTCTTACTAGACTGCGCGATTGTGCTCTGCGGTTGAGCCGTAACCTTCGAAGTCCCCTTCGTCGATAAGACACTCTCCACCAAATTTGAGGCTCCAGCAGTGCTTGATGGAACCGTAATAGGTGACAGCGTTTCCCTTATAGAAGTCTGGGAAGTGATCTCAGATGCTTCCGTTGTAATACCAATCGTAGGCCCAGAACTCGGATCCGAATCACTAGAACTTTGCGGAATCCCTGTAGCTGCGGTACTTGAGTTTCCAGTACCAAATGGTGCGACTGATATACTTGACACTACTGTGGGTATTGATGTTGAAGTTGCTGAGGAAGGTCCCTTGGAAGTTTCACCCGAAGAGCTTTCTGGGGTTGCAGTAGCCTTTGAAGAGGTAGTTGGAAGCAGTGGGAATGTCGTAGTCTGAACAGAATTTTGACTTGATGGTGTCGAACTGTCTAATAATGTTGAAGAAGCTTTCACCGTAAGGCTACTCTCAGGTAAACTAGTAGGCAGAGGCGCAAAAGTCGTAGTCTGCAAAGGCACCTGGCTCGAAGACGAAGAACTAGCCTGTGATTCAGATGTATCCTGACTTGATATTTCACTCTTCGTAGAAGATTTCCCGGTGGGCGCTGTATTTAGGGGCGGAGTAATAGTAAGTGTCGATTCTGTTGCCGTTGGAATTCCACTTCCATCTCCGGTTTCAGTATTTGGAAGTTGACTTGATCGCGCCGGGGCTGTACCTCCTGTACTTAATATCATTGAAGACGCTAGCTGCGACGAAGATGTAGTAGAGCTCAATGACGTCTTGGATTCGTTATCTTCGTCTGATGACGTGCTAGAAGTACTCGTCGCGCTTTTCGATCCCGTTGTCTTTGATCCCTCCGTTGATTGTACCACGGATGTCGCTGAAGTCCTAATCGACTGGGAAGAAAGAGCCGTTGCACTCGTACTGGATATGGTGGTTCCTTCTATCGACGACGTGGATTCGAGCTGAGCTGTAGAACTGGTTATTGAAGAAGTGACCGTACCAGGTAGAATAGTGATCGCAATTGGAGTAACGCTATCTCTTTTCCTTTCACCCCCTCGTATAAAGCTAGTACCAAATTAGAATTATCCATCCCGAACCACTCGCACAAAGTGACCTGAGGTAGAAGAAAAGAGCACTTACTTCCTACTTGTTCCATTGCGCCACAACGGACCAGCCGCACCAAGATGAGAAAGAAAAATTGTACCAAAAAGAAAGAGTGGAGGCGAGACCTTCATGATTGTAGAGATGATATTTTTTCAAGAATTATTCCGTGGGAAGTGTTTTCAGGAGAAAAGGAAAGGCTAGATGTGTACTAGATATATGTGCTGATAAAGATGTGAAAGATTCCAATTTTTGGTATCAAAAATTAATGATTAACAATTTAGCAAAGAAAGTTGTGAATAAAAAAAAGGAAAGGAAGGAAATAATCAACGACAGACAAGACACGAAACAATGAATGGAATTGAGAATAGGAAAACGAATGATGAGTAGAATATGGAAATCGAAATCATGTTACCAAAAGTCTCGACTCATTCTATATACTCGAAATCTCAATGAACATGACCGGGAATGCGACCCAAACCCACTGAGTGCATTGCATTACAAACTTGGCGCTTTTCCAGAACTCCATCGGATCGACAGGTAAACAGACAACTAGTGAGTTTGCTGTACGATTCACTGCAGTTCATTGTAGTTTCCACCAAAGTTTTCTCATCCAATAAATGCAAAATACACAACGTAAAGCTCAAACATGACGTTGGCGCTTAGTAAAATTATCTCGTCTGAAAGAGTGTGGTTGTGAATCATTTGATTGGCTAGGATTAATTTCAGGGGATGCGTTTAGCGAACCCGAGAATGAGTGGATGAAACGACAAGCGCGAATGAAAAGCTTGACTCACATGAGAAATGTAGCGTGAACCAGTCGGATTAAAAATGAATCAATTTGTTCAGTGGCTTGCCGATGAGAACATCGAACAATTAAAGCTTGAGGCTCAATGCTCATATTGTGGTAGGTTACCCAAACGTTGGCCATTGCGCCTCGATCTTTCGGGATCTGCGAAGATCCAATGATCTGATTGTTTGCATGAGAGTAGTTATAAAGAAAAATCTAGATGCAAGTTAACTTGATTAAGCTAAAAGGTCGCTGAATCTAGATCTCCCAAAATAGCAAATCTTGTACGTGCATTGCCGATTTCCAATACCTCACCCCCCAAATCTGCCGACATTCCTCATCAATCAATCTCCAGTCAAAGTTTGAAATACCCCGGTTGCAGCCTCTGAAAACTCCCTCGGGATCATACTTCCTTTGTATATCCCTGAGCTTCTTCTCATTAATCTCTCCATGGCCACCAAAAATGTCTTGTTCTTTATTCACATAATTTATATAAATAAACTGATTTTCAAGTCCCCATTCTTTTGCCAAACTACCACAATCAAAGGGTCTGTGATTCTGATTAGATATATATTCAAGAAAAACAGAAAAAAGCAGAAAAAGGTAGTACTGACTCAACAATCCTTTCTACAGATCGATTCAATGCCGTGAAAACTTTCTCGTCGTCTTCTTCATTTTCCCATCCCCAATTAAGGTTCATTACCATCTTCTGTTAGCTTCCTCCTATTCGACTGTTCTTCATGTCCTCTCTTCTTCCTCCGCTAGTCTCCCGTTATCTCTCCCCATTGTCCCTTTTACACATCTCATCTCTTCCTTAGCTTACTGCTAAGCGGTCCTCCTTCCGTCTTTAAGCCCAATACGTTCCAACACATTTTCTGCATTTCTTTAATGATAGTAAAGTGAAAGAGGCTGAAGTGCCATGGGTGTCATAGTTCCTGGAACGTCTACGACGTGGTTTGCTTTCTACACGAAGATTTCATGAATCTTTTGGAAAAGAGTGGCGTTATTTTTGAAAGTAAATGTTTTCCATCTATGGCCTAAAAGAATTTGGTATTTTAGCACTGATCCTAAATATTGGTAACAAAAGACTTCCGACGTGTAAAGAGGTCTATTATCTTGTCTTCTTAACAAGTATATGTGTATATGCTTTCAATCAGGAGGGTCAATGAAAATAAGACATGGATGTTGCAGAACACTAGTGATTTCAATCTCAGACTTGCGGAGGATTGCACGGATCACCTATTCGGTAACGCGAACCATAATTAGAGGAAGGAATACATACGCTTCTCTAATAATGACTCGGCACAACCACTCCCAATGTCTCATGATACGACAATATCTTACCTCAAAGATGCCATCTGGTTAAGATGTACCGACAACTCTACCATAATCGCTACTTCTGTTACATCCCCAAACTTACAATATTGTCCAACGCATTAAAAACTGCCACCGGTTTTGCATACACGGGACCACTCAACGTCACAAACCCTCCCAAACTCGGTACATATCCGCAACCAATATATAGATGGGCATCCTCATCAGTCGGCGCATCAACAATAAACTGAGAAAACACATCCGAGAGTGAAGCATTGGAAGCCAAGCTGTAAAATCTAGACCCTCCCCATAAAAGTCCTTGTTCAAATACAAATGCATCGAACCTCGTTACTATCCCGAGGTTCGTACCTGATCCACCGCGAAGGGCTTAGTATAGATCTGGATGTGATGTTGATGATGCACTGACAATACTGCCGTCTGCGAAAACGACTTCGTAATTGAGAATATTATCGCAAGCCCATCCGTATTGGCCGGAGAAATAAGATATTCCACCTCCAAGTGTAAGTCCTCCGACTCCTACTCCAGCTTACCTTCCTCCCACTACACTTGTTTCTAACGAATCTAACACTTGATGGACATCATATCGTGCATTTCCAGCTCCAATACTTACTGTTTTTTTATCTGCTCTCAATTGAACTGTATTTATTTTTCGCAGATTGACCAAGATACGATTTTGTATACTCGATGCTCCAGCAAACGACGCATATCCCCTGCTTTCCACAGCGAAAGGGCAACCCATCAATTGAGAAACTTTGATGGTTGTAGAGATATCTTGAGGAGTTGCAACATCGAATCGACAGCTCAGTACAACTTCGGCTTGTTGAACTGACCAATATGGGAGGGGTGCGTAGGCTGTAGACGACGGGGTTGTGAGTTTGGTGGGAGAGAGGAGAGAGGAGAGATAGAATTTTACACCAAGTTGATGAGAGTATGATTAATCAATATCGCACTCATCAAATGAATCGTGAAACAGAACACTCACTGCCAATTGACACTTGTCAACGCCTCTGTACTTCTCGCCAAGCTCTAGAATTTGATAATATATTGCCGGATCAAGGGATTCCAGACCTAGATTGGTCAAATTGGCTAAAGTCAAAGCTATCAGTGTAATAGCTACGCATAGAGAAAAGACAGTGGCAATTCCCACAGACAAAGTGTCATGAAAACGCATTGTCCGAAATTCTGAGAGTATGTGTGATACTTTGCCTTGAAAGAACTGCGAGAGCAGGATACAAACACTCTTCGAATCTACAACTACCAAATTAAGAGCGTAGCGCTCGTAGAACGCATATTCATACTAGCCATGTACACTTGAGTGATCGCATCGCGATTAGGTTCGACCCGTGACAGTACTGTCTAAACTCAGTAAACTCGGAACCTAATTGGCCGCATTAAGCCTAAATGGAGATCAGCTCAATATCATAATCAGTAAAGGAGAGAAATTTGAACAACAATAAATCGTTATCAAATCAACAATTGCTATTTTGCTATGCAATAATCACTTATATTACTCCTAGATACTAAAATTCAAAGGAGATTGGAAAGTATTTCCATATAATGTCATATAGAACCAAAGTTCTAGTTATTCCAGAGGGCAATACAATGTGCAGCAGTACAATGGTCGGGAATGAAGGACATATCAAGGTGACCCCTTTTTATGAGTGCAAGAGATATAAGAATAGGTTCGAAGTGACAAGCGCACAAATATCGGAATTGTATTCAAGGCATAAACCCTCCTCCTCAAATGTCAAGAGAAGAAGGGTTGGGAAAAGATGAAGCACGAGATGTTACTAATGTGAATGCTTTCACTGATACAGAAAGACCACCGAGATACCAAGGTTCCCGCAAGAAAATCTGCCCTAGCTTGCCAGAAGAATTGAATTTCTAGATAAAAATACGGTCTAGAAGGTAAACCTCCTGCAAAATCTCCAACAAAGAGCACTTTCTATGTAACCGCAGCAATCTCGCTTCAGCAGTCAGTTCTATGGCGCGACTACTCACACCCATTGGGCTTTATAGCCGTATCGATTTGACATTGCTATATGTACGGCTCTGCTATCAAAATTTGAAGAGAAGTTTTCGAAAGAGATAGGAACCATGGTGCAAACGACAAAAATTACGAGCGACTTAGATAGCCCATCCTCCTTAAAACCTCACAGGGCGACATCACAATCGTACATGTCGTCCATATAGCAGAAGCCTTGACCGAGACCTGCTACCTGGACTGGTTGATTTTTTTTTGATTTCTTTGGAAATCGGTGGAATACCAAACCGTCCCAAAAACCAAAAGTTGAGCACATGTCTGCCCACAAACCAGGAAAGCCCTTTCCCCTCCACAACGGTACAATCTCCTAGTCTATCATGAGTAACCGAAATTATGAATACATCTCGTAACAGCCCGGAAAGCCCTATGCAGCGGAAGTTTTGGTCTGAGATTTCGATCATTATGAACTAAAATTCGATGAAAGGAGTACATGAAGTTAATGCCCGCAGATTCCAATTTAAGAATACCCTGAATCTTTTAGTATATATAAAGGCACTCTTTTCTCATCTTCTTTCAACCACCATCTTCATCAAGCTGCACATACTCGCTCTACCATCATGCTCGCCACCACAATTCTTTCATTTCTATATCTGGCATTACCAGCGAGATCAGCAACTGGCTAAGCGACAAACTTCAATATCAGTACAGCTGAGCTCGAATCATATGGATGCAATGCGTCCTGTCAAGCAATCCTATCTGTATCTAATCCTGCCGACCTCGAAACAGTCGGTACAGAATTCGACTTTGATTTCTACAGCACACCAAACAATTTCTCTTACTCTGCTCCAGGCGATCTTTTAAAACTGCAGCCAGTCGATAGCTCTGACCTTAACATACCTGCTGGCATTGCGACTTTTCGATTCCAGTATACTTCTATCGACTTAGATGGTACTAACGTACCATCGAGCGGTTTTATAGCATTTCCTTTTGCGTCACCAGCCAATGGAAGCCAGTTTCGCCTTATCACCTACGCCCGCGGTACGATTGGTGTTCATCGAGGATGTGCGCCCTCATCTTCGCCAAGTCTTTTCAATTACAATAGCTGGGCTCAATTGATGTACAGTGGCTATGCTGTTGTAGCCACCGATTACGCTGGTCTCGGAAACAACTATACCTTACACAAATACTCTGCTTTCACCGCTCATGCCAATGATATCTACTATTCCGTTCAGGCAGCTCGGAAAGCGTTTCCTGGTATGTTCACGAAAGAGTGGGCGAGTATAGGACATTCTCGAGGTGGGGGCGCCGTGTGGAAGCTATCGGAACATCCTCTTGTACAAAAACATAGCTCTGGATATCTTGGAGCAGTTGCCGCATCTCCCGCATCTAAGCTTTATGACATGTCAGTCGAGACCTTCGAACGCATGACCCCTCGTCCCGATTTTCATCAATTTGCCGCCACTGCCGAACTTGGCTAGCTTGTTTACGGCCTCAAAGCAACCTTTCCCAGTTACACGGCACCACTGTTGGCCGATGAGATGAGAAAGCGGGTAGAGTTGGCCGATATTATGCAATCATGTACTTTATCTTCTATGGGCCTCTCCCTAGACTTGCGACGGGACTAGTACGCAGTCGCTAGTGGAACACCTACGACTGATGAACTTTTCAAAAGATTCCAGGATATGAACGCCCCAGCACAAGGTGATCCAGCTTCGAAGCCAATATTGATCATCCAAGGCTGGAGCGATACTTCAGTTCTCCCTCAAAGTACCTTAGAGTCATTCCAAGCAACCGTGAATGCAGGAAATGTTGCATATTTGAAGAGATATCCGGGACTGGATCACTCTGCGACAATCACAGCTTCTAGTCCTCTGTGGTTGAAATATCTAGCTGAATTGTTTGCTCATGAGAAACAACCTCGCAAGTCATCGGATACCACGATTGTGCCATTCAATTTGAACGTGGCCAAAACCCCATTGGAGCTTCCTCTCAACGAGGAACCTCTGTTGAGCCTACTGGGATGAATGATAAAAAATCATGGTGCCGAGGAGGGTGTTTGCAGGAAAGTCATCCGTCTAAGCAAGGACCTCAATGGCTAGCAAAAGCTCGTGGCGCTCTTAACAGTTTCTCTCCATGCGCTTTGATAAAATTGAGTTGAGACTGCCAGTGCGCAGCCAAGATCATCGAAGATTGTAGATAGAAATTGAATCTGAGTAGTTTTGCTTTTAAACATCAAGCGATCAAGTATGTCTGGTGTGAAGCTTGCACTCTCTAACCCTCCACTGTAGCTGTGAAGTCGTGATGTTGAGAGGTGCTAGAACTTCACGGGATGGAATTCCTCAAGTAACCAGAAACATTTCGAGATAAAATGTGCTATAGGTAAGCTGCTTTGAAGAGTAACGAAGATGTTCCGCTCTACTCAAGGACTATTGTGTAGTTTGGGGATCAATCCATGTTAATTTCTTTTGATATCTTGCGATACAAACTCGTATCAATCCGAGGATAATCATTAGTGAAGTGCTGTACAGTTTTGCACACTATACCGACGACAGCCCTTGGCTAACAAAAGATACCAAATAACATAACCTGAATACAGCCGTTTTTGGCTGTCTTCGTTAGAATGGTGACATTGAATTGGGAAACGGAAATTGATGATGGATGAGGACCATGAATTTCGATGGGATGGAGTTCGCCGGATGCCCATGAACGATGCTGTGGGTGCGTTAAACATATGGTGACCCGTAGAGAAGTGGCGTATATATATCTATATTATTAGAATATGTCTTATGCTGGTGTTTCGGATGTGGTTCACATGTGGTATAGTAGCCTTTCTTCCATATAACATACCCTGAAAATCTGTAACTCCGATTCAAGTGATACTTGACAATCGGTAGCTCCTATTCAAGTCATACTTAACCATCGATTACTTATTCAGGAGATATCTGCGCGTATCGCATCATGTCTCCCCCTTTAATGGATGAAGTGTGAACATGGCTAAACAAAGTCCAAGCCTCTGTATGCACGATATCCCGCATCAAGCATGTAAAGTGTAGACGTACTGAAGGATCAAGAGTCCATTGAACTTGGAATACCTAGGTAAGTGCCCTCGATTGTGGGGTCGCAATTGAGTTAGGATTATTGTTGTCGTTGAAATTGATGACTGATGAAATGAGGTTTTATTTGGGTTGTCATGGTTAATAGTGAAGCATTGAGACTGAGGTTGATGATGTACAGTGTAAGTGTAGGTAGGTGAGTGTAGTCTTGGATTTTGCAACAGTGTCTCGTCTCAATTCCTCAGCACATTTGCATACGATACCGCCACAATTTACAAGCCACAAGCCACAAGTCACAAGGTAAGCCGGCAAGCCCGAGTGGCATGAACACTAGCCACAAGCCACAAGCCACAAGCCACAAATCACAAATCACAGCTGCAGGTCCTGGGTGCGTGCCGACCTCTACCTAGCCACACGAACCTTATTTTTATAAACACGTAGGTCATTGTGTAATGGTGCATGTATATACTAGGTATGTATATATATGTATATATATATATATGTATATACATACTCACATATACCTACCTAGTACCTAGAAACCTAGCCTAGCCCGCCTCGATGCCTAAATATCCAGGCATATATAGATCTCATCAATAAGGGTTCTCTCTCTTATCTCCTCCGTGGACCGTGGGAGATAAATGTGAACCCCACCCCAAGCCCACATCTAAAAAACCTTTTTCCGATGCATCCATCACTTCAATGTTCGTACTTGGTACACCGGGGTCGTGAGAAAAGAAGAGAACGACAAATAGAAGAAATGGAAAGAAAGAAGTGAGAAGGCACGGAAGGGCACCGAGAGGGAAAAAAGAAGAGGAGAGGTAAGGGAAAGAAAGGAAAGGAAACAAGACGGAAAAGGAGAGATTCATGAGGCACTATACTCTGATGAGGTTACTCTATTAGAAAGCTAAGAGCCTACCTAATTACGACTACGACTATTCAAATCATCAGATTCATACTTGCACCTTGCCATTGCCGGCAATCAATATGCAGATTTCATTTTTCCACCATGAGTGAGGTAAAAAGTGATAATCCTATCCACTTTCTACCAATCGTCCCAATCAAAAATTCCAAATCTTCGCCACCTGAAATCTTACTGCCAATACTACAGCTGCTGCTACAATCTTTTGGAACCTTGTCAGCTCTACTCACTAGGTACTCAGCAGGTAAAGTTATTATTATCATTGATATTAACCAGTTCTTACCATTCTTTGGATTGTTTGTACTGTACTCGATGAGTATGTGACTTTGATATATTACATTATTTTTACTCACTCACTCTCCTGATTCATTCTTTCACTCAAATTCAAATTCATATTCATTCCTATCCAACTTTGGTACCTACCTACCTACCTCCCTCCCTGATTACTCTGTCTCCTTGAGGAATTGTGTATTTGAGCATGACGTTGGTGAAAAGATCCCATTAATTCGCCGTCTGACTGCGATGCCAACAAAGTTCAACTCGGAAACACCTATTAGGGTGTCTGAAGTTCAAAGGGTACGAGAAGTTTACAAGTTAGTCAATTGACTCTTTCTCACACTTTTGTTTGATCCAGTCCTAATTCTTGACTATCTAGATATCTTCCCCCCTTCGCAGCGCCCCTCATCCCGCCGCCCAAACAAAATGACAAAAATGCAAAAGGTTCAACGATCTCTCCCAAGGCGTTCTCCTCATCGGACAGGGCACTCAATGCCTTCGCGCAACTCGGTGCTCTACGATTGAAGGCAAGGCGAGCTATGATTTCCTTGGTGGATCGTACACATGAATATATTCTGGCTGAGTCAACAAGGACATTGTCATCACAAAATGATGATGTACACGATGATGGCGATTCCTTGTGGCTGGGCGTACGAACTATACCTCGCGAAGATTCATTATGCGCTGCTGTTATAAATACACCGCGATCAGAGAGCAAGCGTAGTGATACTGAGTTTCGACCCAAAGCCATTCCGAAAATCATAAACGACTTGGCTGACGACGAGACCTTGAAATACGATCATAATATTATTGGAGGTCCAAAGATTCGGTTTGTGGCTACCGTGCCAATACGATCTCGGCGAGGATTCGATATTGGGGCATACAGTGTGTTTGATGGCACTCCACGGAATGGATTATTGCCGGAAGAATTGGAATTCTTAACGGACATAGCAGATACCGTAATGGAGCACCTGGAAAACATTGTTGTGAAAAGAGACCACCAGAGAGGAGAGAAGATGGTGAAAGGGTTGGGATTGTTTGTAGAAGGCCATTCTAGCATTAAGTCTTGGTGGCTGCGCACTCGAAATGAACGCCAAACGTCTGTCCGAGGCAGAGGTCCGTATACTGCAAGGAGCGCGGGAGATATTACGTATCCTACTGAAGCTACCAATGGGAATTCAGGGACCGCCAGTCCCGAAGCTAATCTTTCATATACTGAACAATTGCAAGAGATGGACGGGAGGACATCTCCGCTTCCGACGTCATCCTCGCCGTCAAGTAATCTGCGCAATGATATGCCACTCAGACCGAGAGGTGAAAATGACGAATCGCATAATGATCTTTCTGTTCGAGTTAGGGATTTCACATCTTCCTTTCAGGAGAAACTCGATCAACCATCTGCCCCGGATTCACCAAATGTACCTTCACAAGTCCCTGTCTCGTTATCAAACCAGACGTCCAAAACTCGGTCATCCACGTCCCCTGACCTGGCGCACTTCTCAACGACGACCAAAGAAACTCCAACGAATGACTCTGAAACTCGAACAGTCTCTAACGATGGTGAAATATTAAGAAGAATGCTTTCCCGTGCTAGTAATCTCATACGCGAGTCGACAGATGTGGATGGCGTAATATTTTTCAATGCTAAAGAAAGTGCTTTCGGGCCTCGAGGACACCAATCTTCCTTGATCGGCCCAGAGAAGAGCGCCGGTCTACATAACGCTGCAAGGGTATCTAGCAGCGAGGATAATTCAATCACTTCTTCGCGAAACAATAACTCGGATAGTAGCAAAGGAAAAGATTCTGATAGAGGGTCAAACAAGGCGCCGAGTCCACGAACATGTTTGTGTGAAGTACTGGCATATTCTACCGCCTCGCTTTCTACATTGCATGGAGATTCAAATATGCCGGAACATCTCAGCGTCCAAGAAAGCTTTGTTCGCCGCCTATTAAAGCGTTATCCCCATGGCAAAATCTTCGCTTTTGACGAAGAGGGTCATATGTCATCTAGTGAAGATGAGATGCACGATGCTGTATCATCTGGAAAAATATCAGTCGTTGCTGAAACTAGCCAAACCCCGCTGCTTAAGAGGGCATCGTCCAGGGCTTTGGAAGGCCAAACTATGCTCCAAGTATTCCCCGGCGCCAGACACATAATGGTTTTACCATTATGGGATTCACATCGTGAGCGCTGGTTTGCTAGCGCTATGCTTTGGACTTCAGACCCAACTCGAGTACTTAGTCTGGACGATGATCTTAATTACGTGGCTGCTTTTGGGAACAGTATCATGGCTGAAGTTTCTCGTCTCGATATTGTCGCATCTGACCAGACCAAGACTGCTTTGATATCATCAATAAGTCATGAATTGAGGAGTCCGCTACAAGGAATCCAAGGTTCAATTGAGCTTCTGCAAGATACACACATCAGCAAATTTCAAAAGAATGCGTTGGAAACTATTGGACATTGTTCTAATACTTTACTTGATACATTGACTAATGTACTTGACTATGCGAAAATCAATAATTTTACTACAGCGCAAAAAGTGGAAAATAGAGTGATACGCAATTCTTCCAAGATCAGGAAAGCTGTTCCGGCAGAAAAGTTTCAGGTCTATGGAACAATCAGCTTGACCTCGGATCTCGACATTGCCTCCATCACGGAGGATGTCATCAATGGTATATATGCTGGCCATGTTCACGTTCTTCATGTGACTTCATTTGATGGTTCCACTGATATTGACCAACCAATTTCTCCTACTAAATCTGACATGAAAGGAATGGAAGAACCGCAGTCGCTGTCTGTCATTTTGGATGTTGACCACAAATCGAACTGGACTTTTCTGACTCAGCCTGGAGCATGGAAGCGCATTTTGATGAATATATTTGGCAACGCGTTAAAATACACTACCTCAGGAGTGATACAGGTTAGTCTTGGTTATAAGAGCACCACAACGAGAAAATCAAGAATGAACCAAGAATTTATTACTTTGATAATTAGTGATACAGGAAGAGGCATCGGGGAAGATTTCTTAAAACGTCAAATATACACTCCATTTGCCCAGGAAGATAGCTTGACACCAGGTGCTGGTTTAGGCCTTAGTATTGTTCGTCAAATTGTGGGAGCACTCGATGGGAAAATTGAAGTCTTTAGTATTCAAGGCACCGGCACAGTTGTCAAGGTTGTTCTCAAACTTGAGAAATCCCAATCACAAGCCGGCGAAATACCTCACATGCCAAACAATGTCCAACAAGCTAAAACTTACACTCATGGTCTACAGTTAGTATTGATAGGAATGGAAATTTCAACGTCTGAACCCGATCAAAAGACGAATGGGGAACCGAATTACGGTAGATCTGTGGGTCCCGCGATCTCTAGGATGTCTAGGAACTGGTTTGGGATGAAAACCAGTGAAGCCTCTGGATTTGATGCAGCAATAGGAGATATCTTCATGATAACCTCTGAGAAATTCGACGTGCTGGAGAGTAGCTGGAAAAATCTCCATTCAGAAACTACTGGCGATACACGGAAGAGGCATGTGATTGTATTAACAGGATCTGCACAATCCGAAAGAAGAACTCTACATGAAAGCCATCAGAATATACATTTCCTTAGTAATCCGTATGTCCCATTCATTCCTGACTGTTTTATTTTCTTATCCCTCCATTCAAATTCGTGAAAATAACTAATGAGATTCTAGGATCGGTCCTAAGAAACTAGCGGATTGTTTCCTTTCTATATTCGACAGGTCTAGTAGCCAGGATAGCAATCACTTTCTCGCAATGCCTCCAAATCCACGGAGAAGAACCTCCCCTTTCTTTAGGAAAGACAGTCCCGAACCCAATCACAATCAATCAATAGTCGAAACCACTAAACCCACTGCCCTCCTCGTCGAAGACAACGCCATCAATATGAAAATCCTCATCGCATGCATGAAAAAACTAAACGTACAATACTCATGTGCGATAAATGGAAAAGACGCAGTAACCCAATACACCAATGCGAAGAGGAAACCGGATATTGTTTTTATGGATATTAGTATGCCGGTCATGAATGGGTTTGAGGCATCTCAACTAATTAGAGGAATGGAAAGAAAGGAGGGTTGGAAAGCAACTGTTATCGTGGCGGTCACCGGGTTGGCCAGTGATGAAAGTCAGAGGGAGGCGTATAGTTGTGGGATTAATCTTTTTATGAGTAAACCTGTGCCGCTAAAAGAGTTGGGAAAGATTGTGGGGGGGTTGGAGAGGGGGAGGAGAGTTAGTGCGGGGTAAGAGATACGAGCTTGGAAGAGTTGAATAGATGGATGCATGCATGCATGCGTGCATAGATGAGAGTTCAGAGGTGATTGGGATGGAATGATATCGGATGACATGGCATGATATGAAAAGGTCTAGGGATCGGCTGGAACGGGATGATATGGAATGGTATGGAATGGAATGAATGACATGGGAACCGGAACCGGCTGGATTCAAATGAAATGAGGATACACAAAAAGTGTGCAAATATATAACCTCTTGTACAATTGTAAATGATACCCCGTATACGAATCATGGGATTGTTTATACGCAATAGTAATAGACTTAATATGAGTAATTTTAGGTAACTAGTTTCTTAATTGAAACAATAATTCTAGATTGGGTCGGTTGGTTGAGTGATTGATTTATTGGATTGGATTGTGATGCGAAATGATGTATGGACTTGAGTATGATGAAATTGATTATGTTGATTTGACTCGGTTTTTCCTTTCGTTGTTTTGAAGATTGGAAGATTGAAAATGTGATGGGAGAGAAGGGAAAGGGAAAGGAAAGAGAAAAAATGAATGACATATGGGATGTGGGATATGTTAGGAAAAGATAAATACAAGGAGGCAGTGAAGGGGGAGATGAGATTGTAATTGTGATTTAAGGGGGAAGGGGGAAGGGGGAAGAGGGAAGATAGGGAGTAAGGAATGGAAAGGGGTGGTGATAGCTGATCAAGAGGAGAGATGAGATTAGAGTTTCGATTTGAGAGATGAGGAGATGAATAAATGATAAATATCGCATTCTTATTATCAGATAGAACCGAATAAGAATAGATGTGGAAATCGTGAGGAGATTGTGTGTTTATTGTGGGAAGTGTGAAGAGGGAGGTAGGTAGGTAGGTAGGTAGGTAGGTAGGTAGTGAAGAGATCTCTGGTCAGGAGATTTCTGGTGAAGAAGTAAGTTGGGTTTGTTTAGGGGTTGTTTTGTTTTGTGATTCTGTTTTGCTATTAGGTAGGTAGGTTGATAGGTTGATAGGTTTGTAGATAGGTAAATATACAAATAGATATATAGATAGATAGGATATCGATCGCTATCTACATAAATGAAAAATGTCGATAACTTATGAGAAGATGGATGTAATGCTGATTAGTGTTGTACGAGATTGTTTCTACAAGTGGGTTTGTAACGAGAAATATAGACACAGATATGGATGTAGATATAGATGTAATTTCAATTTTGAGAGACATATACAGTAACGAGATTCGAGAAACTTGCTATTCTTGGGGATATTTATTGGGTAGATATAGATGGATTTGTATTCGTACTATGTATGTAATGGTAGATATTCGAAGGATCCTGGGTATAGGTGTGGTTTGTAGATTGTTGTTCAGGCTTTAGGAATGAGAGGGGATGGATGGATGGATGGATGGATGGATATGATAATGATATTGAATGTTTTTTGGTGTATTCGTTGAGTGAAGAGTAATCTACGTGTGAATAAGGGAATGCAGAATTCCTGCTACGGTTGAACTCTCGTACGACTAGGCGAATAAGTGTAAGATAGAGTACGTAGAGTATGTAATCCCAAGTTTGTAAAATCAACAAAGATACTACCCACCCACCTACCTACCCCAGGTTGATCGACAAGTGCTAATACCAATTCGTAGGATCAACCTCATCTGGTTCTTTTATAAATGATACGATGTGAGTCATAAAAGTGAGGTTCGTGAGGATGTCTATTTGGAATTTGGAATATGTGTGAAGTTGGAAGCTAAGTTTTGTGGTTTGGTGTCAACTTTACACGTGGAAATATGAGAATTTGATTGTAAAGTCGAATGTAGCGATTGATTTGTATGAGAGAAATTGCAATATGAAATGCCTATAGGCTGTTAATGACGATGAAATGTACCGTGGTCCAGTACTAGATATGGGGTTTCTTTCTCGTCATGAATCATGTACATTCATATGTACATTCAGATGGTGAAATGGTAGAAGGTTTAGATCTATGATGAGATGGTCTAGTAGACAGCGCGTCTGTAACCATTACGGCCGCTTAGCCCAAAGTAAATAGTGGTAACATGTGTTTTAATATCGCCCTGAGAAAATATAGGACCTGCGAGGAAAATAAACCTTCCCGTGCAGGCCATTAGAATACCGAGTCTGCAACTAGCCGAACTCAAAAAGTCACACACTTCGTGCATATCAAAACTTATATAGAAGACTTCGGACCTTCCAAGCCGGGAATGTCGGGAGATAATGGTACACGTGGGATTTACAAGATTGGTTTCATACATGTATTCCACTCATTCTTGAGTCTTGATTTGGTGACGTTGGTACTAGGTCGACATCAGATTGAAATATTGTATGGACTTCCATAAAATAGTCATTGCGCAGGTCTTCCAATCTTTTATCTGTTTGAGAGTATAGACTTAGTGTATGCAATAAGGTCTGCCAACACACAACACACCTGAATACTAGTACCTGGACCTATGTATGGTTTCTACGATTTCATTGGTCAAGTGAGTCCCGTGACGTAAAATCCATCGGAAGTTTGTTCTGCTGATGCATCGGGTGGGCGCATTTCAAGCTGCTCAGGCGTAACACAGAAAACGAGCTTCGAAAGATTTGTTCCAACAGTGGAGAAGATAGATATATGTGAGTTGAAAGAAGATATTTTCCAGGTACCAGGAACAAAGATCATAGATGGCACCACCTACCTCGACATGGATCTTTCCCAAAACAGGAGCCAAGAAACACAAGTGGCTGAATTTGAAGTCGATGTTGTGTGACCCAAGGCTTTGGGATTCGGGTCAGTTGATGGGTGGTTTTAATAGAAGGAAAATCATATACTCACTTACGAGTCATCTTGCCTTCTATCATCATCATCGTCATCGTCATCATCATCATCACCATCATGCGCAGATGAAAGGACGCCATTGATATTCTGCCACTTATTTTTCGAAACTTATCACTGTGATTGTTTTTCGTGCCTTGCATTTTGCAGATGCAAAAGTATCTTTTTTTTTGTGGTTCCTGAGTGTGGTAGGTGAATTCGGACCTGGATTCGCATTTGTCTGGGTGTGGTCCGGCTGGACGATCAATTAAAGATCTGCATTATCAAGTTATGCCTACCAATACCCAAGCTGCCTCGCTGCCAAATAGAAGTGCTTAGCTGATGGATATCTTTGTACGGAGAAGACGAGGCTAGATGGTACAAAGTGTGAGATGAGTGTACCGGACCGGTGTATGATCATTCTCATCGTCCGTAGTGGTAGAATGATAAAGTCAGCTTACTATCTTGAGGGGTGGATGTAGTAAATGTAGCACTGTAGTGATAGTAATGTGCCTAGTAATCCATCTTCTTGACAGTATCGTAGTGTTGTCTTGGCTTCACGTTGATTGTTCACTGGCTCATTCATACAACGTGTTGGAGGAACGAACACCTTCTTCCTTCTTACCAAGCATATGGATGAACTTTTGATTCGCTCTTTTGTTGGTGTTGTTATATCGGATCAACCAACTGCATCGATTGACTCGTGTCAACGACAAAACAGGAGAAACCCAGATTACGTTCTATTCGAATTCTTTGCAACGGTGAGTAAGAATGCAAAGATAATGACTGATCATAAAAGGACTCCAGCACTTTTGGCCCTGCCCCGCCCCTCGATTGTTTATCGCAGTTAGTGGCGGCACATTAGCTCAAAGGTAGAGAGAGCACAGGGCGTATCGGATAGAAAGTGTCAAGCATCTTGTCAAGCCATGAGATTCAAAAGAACGAATGAACAAGAAAGATTACCCACCAAGCCACCGTGCAGTAGAGAAAGAAAAGAATCAGACCCGATCCGATACGATACCGACAGCCCAATATCATATTATTCATGTTCACGGGGCGGCTCTCGAGAGTCGATATATGTAATGTATTATATATATATATATATGTTCTCAGCAACACATCATCTTAGAATACTGTAATATTACACATATTGCAGATTACATGATGATAACATGTTACGTGTAATCTATTCGCTGTTAGCAAATAGAATTCTTACCAGTATTTTTTCAAGAGGGGTAGAATCGTAGAAGAAACTTATTGAATATCCTATTTAATCTTGATCCACTTTATGAAAATACAAAACGATGACTTGCAGTGCTTACTGGAATATAATAGGATGCTTGTGTTGTATCAAGCGCATATGCTGCAGGCTGGAGCGGTTCAGGCAAGGGACAGGAACATGAATTCATGTTAATCCTCGTCACTTTAAGTGGCTCGAGAGTTGAGTGAAAGTTTTGAAGACGCAAGATGGGTTGTAAAGTGGAAAAAAGTGTACCGTTCCTGAAAATAATGGGTTTCCCGCTGTCATCTTGTCATCTTGTCAGGTCCTCCTTATATTCATTCATCCGTACGCCTATTCATTCCTTCATTCATTTATCCAAATCAATGTTCATGCGAGCACTCCGGACGGACTTTGGTTTCATGTTAACAGCCGGCTTTGTACCAGCTCATAAGCCATTCAATGATATACAAGTAGAAATGGTTCAGCTGCGGGTAGACTAAGAGAATGGGAATACTACACCTGCCTACCTAGTACGTGAGACTGAATGAGAACGGGACTGGTCGGAATGAAGGGGGGATACGTCTATCGATCTCTTCTGCCGAGAAGTTATTTTGGTATTCCGATTTAGAAAGGTAAATGTGTGTTGCGTGTCTATAACCGGAAATCCAGCCAATTTCTTTGTATCCAAGATAGACTTTGACTAACTTTCATACCGATGATTTCCTTTATTCTTCTTCTTATCATTCGTTAGCTTTTCCCTTCGTACCTTTCGTACCTTTTCGTACCTTTTGGTAGACCACTCTGAATTCGCTTATCGTTACGCTACCATAAGGTTATCGGTTTAACTATGACAGCTCGAACGAGCTTGAGGACAGCTACTACGAAGCATACTGACAATCCTAAATTTATACTTTACCAGCTTCCCTGCTTAGATGAAATACTAACATTGGGTACAATAATAGGTGAGAAAACTAA